TTTTTTTTTTTTAAGATTTTTATTGGGGAATTGGGGGATGGGAACAGTGCTGTGGGGGAAGGGGAACAGACAAGTTGCTGTCCTTTGGTCTTCAGTCTAGTTGTGGAGGACGCTGCTTCACTGGCCCAAGTTGGCACCATCATTGCGCTCTTCCCAGGCGAGGAAGATCAGTCGCCAGCTTCTGGACGGTGTTTCTAAGAATTTAAACTTTTCTCCTGGACAGTCCAATTTATAGGCATATAATTGTTTAAATTAATCTCTTCTCATCCTTTGTATTTTTGTGACATCAACTGTAATGTCTCCTCTTTCATTTAGAATTTTATTTATTTGAATCCTGTCACTTTTTCTTGGTAAGTCTAGCTAAAGGTTTGTCAATTTTGTTTATCTTTTCATAAAAAAAGGATTGTCAATTTTGTTTATCTTTTCATAAAAAAAGGAACCAATTCATAGTTTCACTGATCTTTCTACTGTTTTCCTATTCTCTATTTCATTTATTTCTGCTCTGATTTTTATCTCCTTCCTTCTGCTAACTTTGGGCTTAGTTTGTTCTTTTTCTAGTACTTTGAGGTATAAACTTAGGTGGTTGATTTGAGAGCTTTCTTCTTTCTTAATATTGACATTTATTGCTACAAACTTCCTTCTTATAACTGCTTTTGCTGTATCCCATAAATGTTGGTGTGTTGTATTTCCATTTTTGTTTGTTTCAAGATATTTTTTACATACAGTCATGCCAGTGTTTGTTAGTACCAGTTCTTATACTTCTGATTGCAATATAAATTGCTATTTTTGGAGGTATATTTGGCAATTCTAATAAAATTCTAAAATGCAAATATCTTTAGCTCAGCAATGCCACTTTCAGGTGTGTATTTTATGAAAAGAATACAATAGAGGTGTAAAAGATTTCACTACAAGGATATTCACTAGAGTACTTTAACAACAGCAAGGAATATGGGAAACAAATCCTTAACAACAGGGCACTGGTTAAAATAGAGCTTATTTATTTGAACAAATACAATGCAACTACTAAAATTCTTATTTCATTACTTTTGATTTCTTTGTGTAGATCTTGTCCCTTTCTTGCTATATTTATTTCTAATTTTTAAAAATATTCCCTATTAAGAATGGAAGTTTTCCACATTTATATTTCTACATGAAGCTAGTGTGCATGAGCGAGGGTGGGGTGTGGGTGTGGGTATGTGTGTTGTCTTGTGTCTAGTGTACCTGAGAAAAATTAATATTAATAGTTTTAAAACGGAACCTTTTCTTTCTATACAGAAAACCATAGCTAAATATATAGATAATATTGTCTCTTCTTTTCCAGTATTTATATAAATTAGTTCTAGACACCAGGATCTACAAAGCAGTGTTGATTAAGCATGGAATATATGGAAAATCTTGACTTGTTCTGATTAAATGGAAATTATTTTGGCCCTGTACCATCAATTAAATTAATTATTTAACAGAATTATTAAATAAAAATTATTCTACTATTGAAATCTGAGTAAGGTCTGTAGTTTAACAACATGATGCCAATGTCAACTTACTGGTTTTGATCATTGTGGTATGGTTCTGTAAGATGTTACCATTAAGGGAAGCTGGGTGTACTAATTTTGCAATTTCTAGTGAGTCTAAAATTATTGCAAAATAAAAATTGTGAATTTTAATATTATTAATTTGGGGTACTGTTCAATCCTGGGCATGTGTGCAAAATGCCTACTTGAGATCTCCACTACTGTGTGTGATGGTCATGCTAATTTTGAGATACCTAAGACAAGCTCATGATTTTCCCCAACACTTATTCAGTCTTACTCCATTTCCATAAACGAGAATTCCATTATTGCAGTTGCTCAAGCCGAAATTCTTGGGAGTCATCATTCTTTTGTTTCTCTCGTAGACCACGTGAAATCTACCACAAAATCCTATAAGTTCTACCTTCAGAATATATAAAGAATACACAAAATATATTTATAATTCATCTCCATATCACCATCTTTACTGCTATCACTGGACTTCAGGGCTTATCTGTTAACAGCAGCTAGCATTACCTTAATTAATATGATATAGAGATAGAAAGATCTTTGTAGTACTTGTGGTATATGTAATTCTAGACTAGATACAAAGAGAGGAACTTCTAGGCCACTTGGTATGATTTTCATTTTTATAAAAACATCTAATTATCCTCCAAAGTGATTGATCATTTATACTCAATCCTATCTGTGTAATAAAGTATCAGTTTTCCCACATATTTGCCTATTATTGAACTATAAAAGTATTTGCCAACCTGATGGGAGAAAACTAGTGTCTCCATATTACTTTAATATACTTTTCCCTAATTGCTTCTGAGAATTTTTTTCTAATTGTCAGGTCTAATTTTATCAACATATGAAATTTTGTTTCTTCTGTTATTTTTAACATATCCAACTGACTATACTAGGTAATAGAAAAAGCTTTTTTTGTATTTTTATGTTCTTTTACTTTACTTATGGACTTTATTTATTTAAAGATTGTTTCAGTTGATTTGTAGACATACAGTCTTGCCTTCATCTCTTTACCCTGTAGGGACCCAGGACCAGACCCTAAGCTAAGCAAGCTCATTTCGGAGAGTACCCCTGCCCAGAGGAATTTAAAAAGCTCCTGCTTCAGCAAAAGCCATAACAAATTGTCTTGTCAAGAAAGTAAAAGAAGATAAACTAAGTATATGGCTTGTTAGGAAAAGATAAACAAGTCATGTTTTATAGCCCGTCAAGAAGATAAGCAAGTTATGTATTAGCTCATTAAAAATAATAACCTAACTGTGTTTTATAGTTTGTTAAAATAAGATAAACTAACCATTTTTTCCTTTTTACACACTAACTGCTTTTTTTTTGCTTCTGTATCAAGCTTCAGCTATAAATTCCTTACCCACCAAGACTTAGCTGCTGCTCTCTCGTCTCTTGAGAGACAGTCCCAGGTCTGGTCATAAAATCTCTGGAAGGAAAATCTTTTGTGCAAGTTTTGTTAAGGAGCCGTAAACCTAACAACCCATTCTTCTGAAATAAGTTCCTCTCATTTCTGTAAAATGTCTTATGGCTCTGCTCAGATCTTTTTATAAACAGTGTTAAACTTTAGTAGTGATGTTAAAACTTCGTTTTTAAAAAAATATTTATTATTAAATGAATATTAAAAATATTATTTACTTATCTGTTAAAAATAACAAAACATTACATGTAATCAAATATTTTATTTAAAAATAAATATATTTTTCAAAACAAAATTTAGTGGCATTATTTTACATTTTCGCATAACTATTTAATATTTGCTTAATAGATAACAGCTGTGTTCTTATATCTGCTTCTATAATCAACCTGTTGTGAAATGTTTTTTTGTTTTGTTTTGTTTTGTTTTTTACCAGCATGCAGTGGGACTTAATTTTTTAATTAAATTTATTTGGGTGACATTTGTTAATAAGTTTCAAGTGTATGATTCTATAATACATCATCTGCATATTGCATTGTGTGCTCACCACCCAAAGTCTAGTGTCCTTCTGTCACCATATATTTGTCCCTGTTTACCCTCTTCCTCTTCCCCCAACCCCCTTCCCCTCTGTTGACCACAATACTCTTGTCTGTGTCTATGAATTTGTTTTGTTTGTTCATTTGTTGCTTTTTGTTTTATATTCCACATATAAATAAAATCATATAGTTCTTGTCCTTTTCCATCTGACTTATTCAATTAGCATAATACTCTTAAGGTTCATCCATGTTGTCTCAAATGACAATATTTCATCCTTTTTATGGCTGAGTAGTATTCCATTGTATATATGTACCACATTTTCTATAAAGAACTCATATAACTCAACAACAAAAACCCAAACAATCCAATTAAAAAATGCACAGAGAACCTAAACAGACAATTTTCCCAAGAAGACATACAAATGGCCAACAGATACATGAAAAGATGCTCAACTTTACTAGCTATTAGGGAAATACAAATCAAAACCACAATAAAATACCACCTCACATCTGTTAGAATGGTTATTATCAATAAGACAAAAAATAACAAGTGTTGGAGAGATTATGGAGTAAAAGGAACCCTCATACACTGCAGGTGGGAATGTTAATTGGTACAGCTATTATGGAAACCAGTATGGATACTCCTCAAAAAATTAAGACTAGAATTACCATATGATCCAAGGAGTCTCTCTTCTGGATATCTATCCCCAAAAAATCTGAAAACATTGATTCATAAAGATATATATACTCCTATGTTCATTGTAGCATTAGCCAATGAACATATAGCCAATTCACAATAGCCAAGAGATGTGTTATATTGTTTTAATTGAAGTATGTGAATAAATTCAGCTTCACACAGATACGCAAATGGAAAAGGAGGGGGTATTTTAACAGCCTCTTCAGATAATTGTGAATAGTCTTCTTTGATACAGCACCAAAATTAACAAAGGGTCATTTCTTAAAGATTAGTTTCAATGTGGAATCTGAAACTCTATCAATAAACTTGTTGCAAACAAAAATCAATTTCAGGTTGATTGAGAATTTAAATGTGACACCAAACTTCAAAAAGTGAATAAGACAATGAAGACAAGTGTATTGATTATTAAAGGTTTGGGAAGGATTTCTTAAACAAGACACAAAAACTCACAAATAAACTTGACTAATCTAAAATTCAGAATCCTGGTGCATCAAGACTCCATAAAGAGAGGGAGACACTTACAACCAAATAAAAGAAACTGTATCAAAGATATCAAACTCCTAAATATCATGCAAAAATGACAACAATACAAAGCTGCAAAAACATATAGATATTTCCCAAACTTAAAATGGCCAATAAATCTAAAAAGATGCTCATTTTCATTAGTAATTAGCAAAATATAAATTAAAACAATGAGATAACATTTCTTAACTACTCTAAACATAAAATCCAAAAACTATAAAATCCCAAACAAATTTGAACATACAGATTCTACACCCAGCAAGTTCATTTTTAGAGTAACTCATACATACGTGCAATGGGAAATGTGCAGGAATGTTTATGGCACCATTATTCATAATGCAAAAAAGCTGCAAACACCCAAAGAGATCCATCCACTCGAGACTGGATAAATAAGTTGTGATGTATTCATACAAAAGAAACAAATGCTGCAATTATATAAAGTACAGCTACATGCAACACATAAATGATTCTTAAATATGTGAACAAAAGTATCTCATGGAGTAATATATTAACATGCTATTATGTCGCTTTTTCTTTCTTGATTTTTTAATAACTTTTTATTTTGAAATAGTTTAACATTCATAAGAAATTGCAAAAATCATAGAAATGGCAGTGTGAGGTAGGCTTCCTGAGTTTTCCCCTGGAAGTTACCACAAATTGAACAACTATAACTCATCAAAGGATTCTCTGCTCATCACACAGAACAGCTAAGAGACACTCATGAGGATTACCTGAAGGTGAGCAAACCAGGAGGGAGAAAGTGTGGAGACGTGGCCCACAGCCGCCGCAGAGACGCAGGACGTAGGCCAGAGATTGCAATAGCCAGGCCTTGGGCTCTCTCCCCGCACCCCACAGTCCTGCTGAGGGACCAGCATATAGGACAGTGATGCCCAGTGCTCAAAGCAGAGACCTCAGCTGAGAACTGCAGCTGGGCTCTCAAAGTCAAGCAAAAAGCAGAAAAAGCACTGTGCCTGGACCCTTCCCCCGACTCTCCCACAGCTCTCCTACCCCGCCCTTCCAGAGTTTAAGCAGGTCTGAGAACTGGGAGGGAGTAGTGTCAGATTACAGAGGTTCTGCGACCCTCAAGAACTGGAAAAGCTGGTTTGACAGCTGTAACCTAGGGAAGAGGCTGGAACTGGTGTGATACTGCTGGGCTGGCCAGGAAGACAAAGGCACCAGCCTACCCAGTCCCCGCTTTTCTGGGCACGGCAGGGCAATTAGAGCTGCTGAGACACAGATCTGGGCTTTCAGAAGCTCAGAAATCTCACGCCCCTCACCCCCAACGGAAGAGCCCTAAGACCCAGGTGACCTGTGCACAGAGAAGAAGCCCGCCTCCCAGTGGATGGCTGTGGTGTTCTCAGCACGGGTTTGTGCAGGTGAGAGCAGAAACTGCACAGACTTTGTAAAAACTACCAACCACACTCCATAGCCCTGCCCACTAAAACTACACTGCCAGGGGCACTCTGGGCGCCAGGTGGTCGGCTAGGCCTCCACAAGACACAGAGAAGATTTTCTACATCAAAGGACAACCTGGAGATAGCTTGGTGAACTTAAGCCAAGACTGGCACTGGTTTTTTTGTTGTTGTTTCTGTTTGTTTTATTGTCATTTTTAGATATATATTTTTTCCTCCCCCCCCCTTTTCTTTTTTCTTTTCCTTGCTCTATTTTTCCTCTTTTCTGTTTTTCTATATTGATTTTTTTTTGGTGGTGTTATTTTTTGTTCTTTTTTTTTGTTTTGTATTTTTTTTGTGTTGAGTGTTGGTTTGAAACAGGGCCTGGTTGAGACCCCCATAAAAGAGGCCTTGCAATGTCCCTGGCCTCGCCTCTTCCTGCCCTAGAGCTTAACAAGTGATCAATCCCCTCCGTGCGGTTTGAGCTTGGAATGTTCCCTGTCCCAGTTCCTGAGCTTAGGGTGTCCCCTGTCCCAATTCTTTGCTTTAGATAATTATCCTGAAACTTATGCTTGCTTACTAGTTACAATGTGCGCCCCCCCCCCCTTGCTTGCTGATTACAATGTGGCCTAGCATTCTTTCCAAGTTACTGTCATCACTGCTCCTGAGCTGATCACCACATTGGAGAGCCACATCGCCACAGGGGAGGCTCCATGCAGAACCCCGGAACCATTATGTAGCCTCTGAAGGAATGCCAGATTTTTCCCTTAAATATCCCAGGCTGGTCTGAGAATGTTAAGGTAGCTTTTGGAGGTGTTAACCCGCTGCCTTCTCAGACCACCGGTACTCTGATAATAAACGCTTATTCTGTGACCCAACCCCTGTGTTGATCTATTGGCTGAGCGGCGCAGGCAGCACAAGCCCCCTGGACTCATTTGGCCTCCGGTTTGGCCTCCTTGCTTCAGGTTGTTGGTGGTTTTTATGTGTGAGTGTACTTGTTTTGTTGTTGTTATTGCTGTTGTTGGTTGTGGTGGTTTGTTTTGTTCTGAAATCGCCCTGCACAAGAGCCCAGCCAAAGAGGCACAAGAATCAACACATCCAGAAGGCAACACCAGACCAGACCAGAGCATTACGGGGTCTGACCTACAAGAGACACACCCAAAGGGAATTCTCTACAGGTACAAGAGCCCACGGGGCCAAGCCTTATCTGAGGGGTCAACCCTCACACAGCAGCTCATACACTATGGACATAGCCAGTTCTCACAGCTACTCATCCTGGGAGTCAATCCCGCCTACTAACAAGCCAAAAGCAATTGAAGCTCAACTTCAACAGGAGAAGACACACAACACAAGGGACACCTCTGAACCACACCACAGGAGAATAGGGAGACTGCAATTCGAATATAAAGGACACATACTGTATAAGACCACCCAGCAAAGACTGAAAGACCTAGGGGAGTTACCTAATACATCAAAGCAAACACAGAGTGACAGCCAGAATGAAGAAACAAAGAAACATATCCCAAATGATGAGACAAGTAAAAAGTTAATGGGAGTGGGCTTGTGAGCTGGCAGGATGGGACAGGCAAAGAGTTAACAGGAGCGAGGTTGTGGGCTAACCGGAATGAGCTTAAACAGTAACTGCTTGGCTCTGACTCCCCTGGCTAGCACTGCACCTGCAAGCTGACAAGCACCATCCATCACAGGTGGGAACAGAATGGTTCCCAATCACAACAGCAACCCCCTGCAAGCTGACATCCATCATAGATGGGAACAGGACAGTTCCCAGGAGAAGAAAACTGTTAACAGCAGCCCTCCTGCAAGCTGACAAGCAGCCTACATTCAGCTTAGAAAAATATAAAACCGCAACACACTTTCTCATCGGGGCAGTTGTCCCCCATTGGACTCTACCCTAGCACAACTCCTGCCAGTATCTCTCTCTTACCCCCCTGTCTCTACAGCTCTCCCTCTCAGACTGTCCTAGCAAAACTTCTGCCAATTCCAAAAAGAACTCTCTCTCTCTCTCTCCCTCTCTGTTTCTCTCTGTCTCTCTCCTTTCAATAAATCTTGTCTCTGGATACTCTTATAGAGTCTTGTAAATTCTTTGTGGTCTGCAAATGACCAGGGGTTAATTCTACACCAAGACACCAAAAAAAAGAACAAGAGAAACCTCCAGAAATGGATCTAAATGAAACAGGCAACCAACCTATCAGAGACAAAGTTTAGCACACTGATTGTAAGAATGCTTAAGGAACTTAGTGAGAATCTCAACAAAGAGATAGCAAACATAAAGAAAGATACAGAGGGCCGGCCAAGTGGCTCAGTTGGTTAAGAGCTCGCTCAAGAGTGCAAGCTCTGAGCATAAAGGTCACCAGTTCGATTCCTGGCCTGAGCTGAGCTGCCACTGAGCTGCCAACAGGTGGCAGAATGGCTCAACTAAAAAAAAAAAGAAAGAAAGAAAGATACAGAAATCATAAAAAATAACGAGTCAGAATTAAAGAATACAATAACTAAAATGAAGAACACACTCAAAGGAGTTACCAGCAGATTAGATGAAGCAGAGGACTGAATCAGCGTTTTAGAAAAAAAGATAGCAGAAATCGCCCAGTCAGAACAACAAAAAGAAAAAACAATGAAAATAGTTTAGGAGATCTGTGGGATAACATCAAGTGCAACAACATATGCATCATAGCAATACCAGAATGAGAAGAGAGAGAGCAAGGGATTGAGAATGTATTTGAAGAAATAATGACTGAAAACTTCCCTAACCTGGTGAAGGAAATCGACATGTAAGCCCAGGAAGTGCAGAGAGTTCCCACCAAGATGAACCCAAATAGGCCCACACCAAGACATATTAGTTAAAATGGCAAAGGTCAAAGACAAATAGAGAATCCGAAAAGCAGAAAGAGATAGACAGTGAGTTACTTACAAGGGTGCTCCTATAAGACTATCAACTAACTTTTCTATAGAAACTTTGCAAGCCAGAAGGGAGTGACAGGAAATATTCAAAGTCATGAAAAACAAAGGCCTAAAACCTAGATTACTTTACCCAGCAAAGCCATCATTTAAAATTAAAGGAGAGATAAAGAGCTTCCCAGAAAAGAATAAGCTAAAGGAATTCATTACCACCAAGCCAGCATTGAAGGAAATGTTAAAAGGGCTTCTTTAAGTAGAATAAAGAGGAAAACAATCTTACTAACCAGGAATACAAATAATAAAATTGCAATAATTATGTACCTATCAATAATCACTTTAAATGTAAATGGATTAAATGCTCCAATCAAAAGACATAGAGTGACTGAGTGCATAAGAAAAGAAGACCCGTGCATATGCTGTATACAAGAGACTCACCTCAGATCAAAAGACACACACAGGCTGAAAGTAAAGGGATGAAGTAAGATATTTCATGCAAATGGAAATGAGAAAAAATCTGGAGTAGCAATACTTATATCAGACAAAAGAGACTTTAAAATGAAATATATTATAAAAGACAAAGAAGGGTACTACATAATAATAAAGGGATCAATCCAACAAGAGGACATAACCCTAGTAAACATCTATGCACCTAACAGAGGAACCCCTAAATATATAAAACGGATATTGACAGACATAAAGACGGACATCAACAGTAATACTATCATAGTAGGGGAATTCAGCACACCACTGATATCAAGGGACAGATCCTCCAGATAGAAAATCAATATGAAAACAATGGTCTTAAATGACACATTAGACCAGTTGGATTTAATCAATATTTTTAGAGCATTTCACCCCAAAGCTGCAGAAAATACACTCTTCTCAAGCACACATGGAATGTCTTCCAAGATAGACCACACATTAGGCCACAAAACAAGTCTGAATAAATTTAAGAAAGTTGAAATCATATCAAGCATCTTCTCTGACAACAATGCTATGAAACTAGAAATCAACGACAAGAAAAATCCTGGAAAGCACACAAATACACAGAGGCTGAATAACATGCTACTAAATAGCGAGTGGGTCAAAAATGAGATCAAAGAAGAAATCAAAACCTATCTTAAGACAAACGACAATGAAAACACAACCCAAAATCTATAGGATGCAGTGAAAGCAGTCCTAAGAGGGATTCATAGCAATGTAGGCCTACCTAAAGAAACAAAAAAATATCGAATCAACAGTCTATCCTTACACTTAAGGGAACTGGAAAAGAACAGCAAAATAAGCCCAAAGGGAGTACAAAGAAGGAAATAATAAAGCCAGAGCAGAAATAAACTAAATAGAGACCAAAAAAACAACACAACAGATCAATGAAACCAAGAGCTGTTTTTTTGAAAAGATAAACAAAATTGACAAACCTTTAGCCAGATTCATCAAGAAAAAGAGAGAGGACCCAAATTAATAAAATCAGAAATGAAAGATTAGAAGTGACAACAGACACCACAGAAATACAAAAAATTTTAAGAAAATACTATGAACAACTATATGCCAAAAAATAAGATAATCTGGAAGAAATGGATAATTTTCTAGAAGCATACAACCTTCCAAGGCTAACTCAAGAAGAAACAGAAAACCTGAAACACTACCAATGAAATTGAATCAGCAATCAACAAGCTCCCAACAAACAAAAGCTCTGGACCAGATGGCTATACAGGTGAATATTACCAAACTTTCAAAAAAGAATTATCACTTATTCTCCTCAAACTATTTCAAAAAATCCAGAAGGAGGGAAGGCTCCCAAG